AATAATCACTAAATCCCATCCCTGGAAAACACAACCCCCCCACTCTTCATAGATCTAAATTTTACTCCCAGTTCATACATCCACACTTACTACTGTGCAATCTACATCTACAGGACCTTAAACTCCAATATCAACCTTCACCTAAAACGCTTTCTAGATAGTTGTGACAGAACCCACAGGCATAACACCAGACACAAACATTCTACGACATTCGCCTTGTCCGACAAAAACCTTTACAAAAATTCAATGTATGTCAAAGGCCCTAAAATCTGGAATACCCTACCTGAGAACTCTAGAACTGCAGACACATTCATCACCTTCAAAACTACCATTAGAAAACATCTTATCTCCCTGATACACCCTGTCAACTAACTACACGAATACCACCTGGTGGTTCACACTTACACTCACTCACCCATTTGACCATAAACAGAAATATTATTTATTTATTTATTTATTTTAATCTCAATCTTAAAATAATAAATCCTGTGATACTCCAATACTGAAACTATGTACTGTGCCAAAACAAAAGCATTCACATTGCTAAACTCACAAACTAGTATTTAGTCACTTAGCCATAATACCAACTTACCTCATAATTTTGTAATATTTTAAACTTAAGATTTAATTTAAGTCTGCCCGAAATGCCTAGCCATGCTAGGTGTTCTAGTGGTACACTCTGTAATTATTATTTTACTACATGTAAACCACACAATAACCCAAAATTCTGTAACTCAGAAATTGAAAATCCTTATAGGAATAAACTTTGAATTTGAATTTGAATGCCCATCCTGTGTGTGATAGTCACCCCCATACCCATCCTGTGTGTGGTAGTCACTCCCATACCCATCCTGTGTGTGGTAGTCACCCCCATACCCATCCTGTGTGTGGTAGTCACTCCCATACCCATCCTGTGTGTGATAGTCACCCCCATACCCATCCTGTGTGTGGTAGTCACCTCCATGCCCATCCTGTGTGTGATATCCCCCCCAGGGGGAAGATATATCTTAATCTACACTTGGAAAATCTTGGAAGGAATGGTCCCAAATCTGCACACAGAAATCACTCCCTACGAAAGTAAAAGACTGGGCAGGCGATGCAAAATGCCGCCAATAAAAAGTAGGGGCGCCATTGGTACACTAAGAGAAAACACCATAAGTGTCCGGGGCCCAAAACTGTTCAACAGCCTCCCATCAAGCATTAGGGGAATTGCCAATAACCCCTGGCTGCCTTCAAGAGAGAGCTGGGCGGGATACCTAAAGTCAGTGCCGGATCAGCGGGCTGTGGTCGTTTCGTCGGACTGCGTGCGGCCAGCAGTAACAGCCTAGTTTATCAGGCCTGATCCATCGGGAGGCCTGGTCGTGGACCGGGCCCCGGGGGCGTTGATCCCCGGAAATAACCTCCAGGTAACCTCCAGGTAACCATACCATCCTGTGTGTGGTAGTCACCCCCATACCCATCCTGTGTGTGGTAGTCACCCTCATGCCCATCCTGTGTGTGGTAAACACCTCCATGCCATCCCGTGTGTGTTTGTCACCCCCATACCCATTTCCCGTGTGTGGTAGTCACCCCATGCCCCTCCTGTGTGGTATCACCCCCATGCCCATCCTGTGTGTGGTAGTCACCCCCATGCCCATCCTGTGTGTGGTAGTCACCCCCATACCCATCCTGTGTGTGGTAGTCACCTCCATGCCCATCCTGTGTGGTAGTCACCTCCATGCCCATCCTGTGTGTGGTAGTCAGGTTCGATCCAAGGAAGGGAAGATCAAGTTTAGAATTAAGATCATATTTACTGAGTTTATAAAATGTCTCTTAGCTGGGTCGGTGGCGCATTCAGCTCACACACTGTGGTCCGTGGTTCGATCTCCAGTACGGGTGGAAACATTGGGACGTGTTTCCTTAAAGACACCTGCTGTCCATGTTTACCTATCAGTAAAATAGGTACTATTATTATTATTATAATCAAGGGGGAAGAGCTAAACCCGGAGGATTATACAGCGCCTGGGGGGGGGACGTGGAAGGCATTCAGACTTAAAATAGGTACCTGGGTGTTAGTGGACTGGTGTGGGTCGCATCCTGGGGACAAAATTGACCTAATTTGCAAGAAATGCTTTCTATATAGTAGTATGTCATTGATGTCAGCTATGGTCTGTATACCTTGTACATGTACTTGTAAAAATAAAGATTATTATTATTATATGGGTGACATACTAAAGACAACCCAGAATAACCCGAGTAAGTTGCCATGTATTTTTTCCCTCAGGAGCGGAAGAGGGGAAAAAATGATGGGAGGGGTTGTTGCCAAGCCAGCTTGTTTCCTGGTCTTGCTGTGTTCTGCTGAGCTCCCTCACCCCACAAAGTTGTGAGGGGGAGAGATACATCGTTCAAGGTCAGCGCCACAGCGGGAACCATATTTAAATGCCAGCATTCATATACTCTCACGGGGGGAATTCATTACCATCATATGCCTTGACCAGTGCTCCAGTCCGCTCTTGTGGGAAAAAGTTCTTGTATTTTATGCTTTCATTAGTAAAATTCGTTTTTAGGACCGAAATACTTGGTGCACTTGGTGGACATCTAAAGAAAGTTTTAGTTAACATTCGAAAGTTTAAAGCTGACGCTGCTTCACAACATTACAGAACTTTGACACATCACACTTCTCACCAATAGTTTAGGTGTTCGGATGAAACTAAAGAATAATTTCTTTAAACGCTAAATTGATTTCTTAATGTAAAACAGTTCGTAAATGTGTTTCAAAACGTTATACTTCTACATATGGTATTCTTAATCTTAAAATCTAGAGGAAAAAAAATATTTTTTTTTAACTTGACAAAGTAGCAGTATTTTAACGCATAATAGCAAAGTCAGATATTTTTAATAATTTTGCCATACTAATTCTGATGCGTAAAAAATATGTTGACGCGACAGACAACATAGTTAACTTCATAAATTAATAACTAAATGAAAAGATAAAAGTCACAATCCATTTAAACATAAAGATTCAAGATATTAAAAGTTACAAAATGCAGAATAAACTTATCTCTGAGTATATATAAGAGATAAGATAGGTGTGGGGTGTGAGTCCTGAGTAGTGTGGAGTAGCGTGTAGTAAGTGTGGAGGAGGTGTGAGTGTGAGGCACCCTGACACCAGTCACACAACCATCATGGCGGAAGAGGCTCAGGATGCCGTCCCTCCCAGTGACGACTCTCTCCTCTCCTCCCTCCTCACCGAAATATTCACTTCTCCCATTAACATAGTCCTACTGGCAGTATGTGTCGTGCTCATCTATAAAATCTTCCGGCCTTCTGATGGTAGTGGTGCAGGTAAGCGGTGAGGGGAGAAAAATGTCTGCAGGTATTGAGGGTCGCCTCTCTGTCACATTTACTCTTATGTAAATATCTCTGGTTGTGGGCCTAATGTCATAGCCAAGGAACCCCATGGTATATGTATTTAGGGATGCCCGATTTAATTGCTTCAGAAATCTGGGTGTGCCACCACCTCCGTCCGTCACATATCTGGACAGATGTGGAACCATCGTATGAAATATTTAATACTTATCACCCTAGATAAATGTTTTCAGAGAACCGACAGGATGATGAATTAGAAATGTGTGAAATACTTGGATTTCCTTACTGCAAAAACGTTTGGCCATCCATTGGGTTCCTCAGTCCAATACGGAAAAGAATAGTTGAAGATCAGGAGTTTTGAGGTAATCAGTCCCTGGTCACAGACCTGGCTGCGGGGGCGTTGATCCCCGAAACCATCTCCAGGTATACTCCAGGTATCCTCAGCCTCCATTTTCACAGTAAAGAAACCCAAGTATGGCATTGCACCTGTGTGTAACAGGTCCTGTATCACTGGACTGTTGTGGGTTGCATCTTGGGGATGAGAATCAAAGAACTCAAAAGGAATCAGCTACACTGATTGGCTTTGATGGGTTCTCCTGGGTTACTAATCCCTCCTGGGTTACTAATCCCCCCCAAAAAATTGTCATTTTTCTTTTAACGTTTTATCTTATCACATCTGTCATGTCATATAATTACAGTATCTGAATTTGAGTATGTGCAGGTATCTCAACTCAGTTTTAAGCTTTCCTAAAATGCTCTGCATAACTATGGGCTTTCAACGTGTACTCTCGTAGGTGGGTTGGTGGCACACTTGGCTGACACACTGGGGTCCATGGTTTGATCCCCTGTACAGGTGGAAACATTGGGACATGTTTGCTTAAGACACCTGCTGTCCATGTGCACCTAGCAGTAAATAGGTACCTGGGTATTAGTCAACTGGTATGAGTCGCATCCTGGGGACAGAATTAACGTACGTTGATGGAAATGCTCTGCTTGACAAGGAATTTTCTTTAGTATGTCATTGATGTCAGCTATAGCTCTTCCCAATAATAATAATAATAATAATAATAATAATAATAATAATGCAGTGGTGCTGATAAATTCACTTGTGTTACTTGGCTTTGTAGAGTTGTTAATCCTTTCAAGGGAGGTGCCATTATGCCGGTAAAAGTTCTTGATCCAACGAATTGAGGCTGTTCTACCCCTCTTTGAATCAAACAGGCTAACCTTCCATTCCCTAGGCACTGTGTGACCCCCTATGGGTTTAGTTCATCCCAATGAATATGATATTGTTGTCTACCAATCATTGCCTACATGACTAGTTCAGATAATTTTCAGCTATATCCTTTATAACATTATCAGCATATAGTAATAATTTGTCCTTAACACATGCCATGTACACAACTCTCGTCTAGGAGACTAGAGCATGTCCCTCAAGAGTGGCTTATTTATGTATTGTTCCAGCCTTTTTATTGTCATTTTATTCTACATGAATAAAAATGGTATATTAAAAAATACTTCACTCTGCATGTTATCACAAAGGTTCAGAGTCAGTTTTAATGTTTTATGTTTAGTAATTCAAAGACACTTTCATCCACAGTGGAGTTTGATATAAGTACTTGATAAGTATCGTCATAAAATATATAAAGGTTTATGCTATTGTCTACCTTTCTTATTTAAGATATAAACCAGTCTATAGATTTTATGCCAATAAAGTAAAGTTGTGTAGAATATTTCTTAGTACTGTTAGATGCTTTTTGTTAAGGCTAAGGTAACCATCTCTGAAATTTCCTTGTAATATTTGTCTTGATGTGGCCAATAAGATATACTGTATTAAGCATGTCATTTGGGCATGATTTAAAGTCTAATTGGTAACAAGTTTTCACAAAAAGTGAATCATTCTACACTATAAATACAGTACCTTAAGCACTACAATTACATTTGTAGTATTTTCATTAAAATTCATACAGTATTTGGCATATATGCATGAGTTAGTTTACAATTCTTTGTATGATGCATAGTTTGTAATTTTAAAGCCAATATTGTACAGTACTGCATTGCTTATTCAGATTAACTTTTAAATGATTTTTATGTTTTTTTTTTTTGTAATCTTGTTTTCAGCTTCTGTATCAGTGGAACCTCCAATGCCTAAAATGAAGCGCCAGGACTTGACCCTTGAGCAGCTAAAACAGTACGATGGAACTGGAGAGCACGGACGAGTATGTATGGCGGTAAATGGCAAGATCTTTGATGTTACACGAGGCAAAAACTTCTATGGACCAGGTTTGCAGGATATCTATATGTATTTGATGACTGTAGTGTGAAATCATTACATGAAGTAAAAAAAAAAAATGCCCAATAAAATAGCAAGAGTGATTGCAGATAAATTAGACCATAGACAGTCTTGCTATACAGTACATGTCAGTGATGAGGGTAAATGACAAGTGATTGATCTTTATTTTTATGTTGCAGGAGGACCTTACGCTGCTTTTGCTGGACATGATGCTACTCGAGCACTAGCAACTTTCAGTGTGAGTGATGTTAAAGAGGAGTATGATGATCTGGGTGACCTATCCTCAGAGCAAATGGATTCAGTCAGGGAGTGGGAAATGCAGTTCACTGGTGAGTAATTAGTACTAAATTTTTTGAGGTACAAGGTAAAGAAAATACTGCAGTTAGTGTTTGTAATCACTATTGGGTAGCTGAAATAGCTAATTGGACAGTTTCTTGTACTCAGTTGATAGAATATAAGGAATACTAGCAAAATAGCTATGAGCATGGTCAACTGGGACAATAGAATTTGCCGAAAATAGGGCTCAAATTGGTTGAAATCGATGATGAGTACATATCGCCAAGACCGCTAACTTTGTGAGAGCTTAATTTTGCAAATTTTCCATCAAATTTCTTACTTTTCGTTTCATTACCTTTGGAAAAAGATTATCATTTCAGAAGATATTTTGGGATCAGGGGTCTTGACCCTGAAAAGGTTAAGATGATTCTTCAGAATGCAACATCCCCACCCCTCCTTCAGAGTGCACAGCACTTCTCTCCTCTGGAACTCAAGTCTGGCTAACTGGTTTCTCTAAATCCCTTCATTAATGTTACTTTGTGAACACTCCAACAGCACCTCAAATCAGCCTCCACTCACTCCTGCAACATACTAATACAAGTCTAGAGATGTCCAAGCCCCTAGCACTCGAAACCACCTCTGCCACTCTCCCGTCAATCTTCCATAGGACACTCCCTACCCTTCCTTCCCTCCACCCCAGATTTATATGCCCTGCTAGTCTTATTTTTTATCACCATAATTTTTCTCGATATTGTTGTGAAAGATAGAAAATGATTGGTGGTGACTGTGTACCTCTTTTGGTCACCCTGCTTTGGTGGGAAACAATTGGTGTTAAAAATCTGAAATTTAAAGATAAATGTTCATTTACATTTTTTATCCATTTCATATTAATTTTTTATCATACTAGTAATTTGATTATGTACTACTAACTTGGTTAAGGGAAGTTATTACTGAGTACAGTATATAATAATTTTAAAGATTTTTACACATGCTTTAAATAATTTTCCCTTTATATTAAACAATTTTTAATTAATGTTTAATTTACAGAAAAATATGAATATGTTGGAAAGTTTTTGAAACCTGGGGAACAGCCGACAGAATATTCCGATGAAGAAGATGCGAAGGACACGAAAACAAAGAAGGAAGACTAAACTTAATAATTGGATAGAAAAATGTAAGTTAAGGCCTGAAGGTTCTAGCCAGAACACAAAGATTATTGATAAGTTTACGAAGATATACTGTACTGATGCAATGAGCTGTTTAATGTAATTGTGACAGGAGTTTTTGTTTAAAGGATGAATTCTTTAATTTTCAAGGTCAAATGTATTTTAAACAATTTGACATTTGACCTTGGTAAGTCTGGCAGAACTCTCCCTAAAATTCACTGGAAGAAGAGGAGGAGGAGGAGGAGGGAGTGAACAATGAGATCAGTTTTCAAGGCTTATGGAGTTATTTATTAAGGCCAGAATATGCCTGCCAAAAGTTGCCCAAGTTTTATATGGCATTGTAGCAGCTCCTGAGGAGACATTTGATATAATTTAGTTTTTCTGCTTGAAGCTTGGGTACCATTAGTTAACCCTTTCAGGGTCCAAGGCCCAAATCTGGAGTCACGCACCAGTGTCCAAGAATTTTCAAAAAAAAAATTTGTTATTTTTTCTTATGAAATCGTAGAGAATCTTTTTGTGAAGGTAATAAAACAAAAAGTACGAAATTTGGTGGAAAATTGACGAAATTATGCTCTCGCGAATTTTGATGTGTCAGCGATATTTACGAATCGGCGATTTTGCCGACTTTGACTCCCATTTTAGGCCAATTACATTATTCCAATCAACCAAATTCTTAGCTATTTCACTAGTATTACTTCTATTCTATCGATTGAGCACAAGAAATCGCCAAGTCAACTGTTTCAACTACAAAATAAAGTGATCGGAAATTGTTAATTTGGCCATTTAACACAAAGTTCAAAATATTCCAATTTCAAAATAGGGTCCAGAATGAACAATGTAGGCATTCCTTGCACTAAACTAACATTTCCTCTGTTCATTAGTTATGTTTTGAGGCTTTACAAATAAATTCCATTTTGATTTTTTATTCACATAATGAATTTTTATTCACACCAAAAATAGAAGATTTACTGTTATGCAATACTGTAATAATTGTATAAATATCATCACCATATTTGTGAATGTATATTAGAGCCACCAGCTGATGTGTATTAGACGTGTGAGGTCGTTTGTTTACTCTTGAATATCGGCAAAAATTTAACATTTCCGCTACTTTGAGCTCAGTTTCAAGCCATTTCCAATGCTAAAACCAATCAAAATCATCTCTATTTCTGTAATATGTCTTCCATTCTATCAAATGAGACCAAGAAATCGCAAATGCAACTATAAAAAACATACGAAAAAACACTGCAAAGTTGCTGTTTTAATCGAAAAATCATGATTTCATTTTTTTTCTCTCATTATACACAGTGTGCTGCAGGATCTGTTTTATGTGGTGCACACATACCACATAGATGTATTCTCTCATATCTAGGCCCAAATGTACCACTCACAGTTTATCAGAGTGAGCTGAGCTCATGGCGTAGATCTACGGTTTGGACCCTGAACGTAAAGCCGTAGATCTACGGGACGGACCCTGAAAGGGTTAATTTGTGACCACTGTCTCTTGAAAAATATTTTCCTTTTTAGGCATTTTCTTTTTAAATAAGTTGGTAAGTGATTTTGATTTCATATTTGCAGCATTGCATTTGTAATTTTTTTGTTTTTTTTTCTCTTCAGTGTATGAAAGATGGTCTAACATGGAAAATTATAAAGGCAGCTATTTTTTTCTCAAGCATTTGTTGCAGACTGTAGAACAAAAATTATAAGAATTATCCATTTGTCACTAAATTTCTAAAAGGCTACCTTGCTGTAACAATGGTACATAATTAAATCCATGGAAAATGTATTACATATGATTAATGTTTATTGGCTAGTTGGTGACAATTTAGCTGATTGTATTGTGCATAAGCAGTACTTGGATAGCATATGATAGGCTGGTTAGCATGTTCTGACCTTACATAGGTAACTCTGCCTGAAATCAAACTTAGCCTTATGAACTACTGCAGAAGACTCATAATTGCTGGTCTTCTTTTGAAATGTTGATTCAGAGTTATTTTTATATACAACCATGAGCCATACATGGTCAGATTTCCATCTTTTCTAAGCTATAGTGATTTATATTGTACCATATATACATACGTGCTTTTCTTATTCTTTCAGTTTCTAACATACTGTGTGATGGACGTGTTCAAAAATTTTTCTCTCTGGGATGGCTCGTTTCTTATATTTGTAATTTATATACTGGGCACTTCCAGTGTGCTCTTATTTGTAATCCATTCAGACGTCCTGGAAAGCCGCCTACCTATTATATACAAGAATGGGGAGTAGGTATAATTAGTCTTAGTGGAAGATTAGGTTTGGAATATTTAAATATTTCTGAAGTGAAAGGCACGCACACTGGAAATAATAGACAGAATTTTGGCTCTGACACAAACTGATTTTAGAGTTGGAAGTAGACTGGTTTTTTTGGTGTTTATTCAACTTTGGTTAATGTTAATTCTAGCAGATTGAAGATCTTTTAAGTTAAAATAAATAGTTTTGGGAGTGGATAGTAGTCATATTAGGCACTTGACAATTGTCATTAGTCTGAAAAAATATATCAGTTTCTTTGCAAGTGATGCAGTTGTGTGCAGGAAATTAGGCACAGTATTGCACTGTCAGAGTTTGCTTTAATTTGGGTAGTGACAACAAAAGGCATATCCATTTTTTTTAAAGGCAAAAGCCAAATCTTAAAAAAAATAAAGGGGCAATTTATTTTTGTGTAAGTAGACAATTTATGTTGGTGTTAGTAAATCACATGCTTTAATAATAGGTTAACATGTATTTAGCTGGGACTATTGTATGTTTATTTGGTAAAATTATGTATCCCCCTTATCAGTG